TCTTCTTCTTCTTCTTCTTCTTCTTCTTCTTCTTCTTCTTCTTCTTCCTCTTCTTCCTCCTCCTCCTCCTTCTCCTTTCTCTCCTCCTCCTTCTTCTCCTCCTCACCCCCCTTCTTTCACCATGTGATGCATCTCTCCACTTGAGGCATCATATCCTTATGTGTGGGTGCTCTGTCATAGGAATATAATTTTTAGTCTTGTATATTTTGTAAGCTAATTTGAGGTTTGGGAGTTAGATTTTTCTTTTTTGATTTTTAATTTATTAATTTTTTTCAAAATTGCTGGGATAATTTACTTTTTGTCCAGTACAGTTTTCATTTATGATTTCTTGGAATATAGCACTGAAAAAAACAGGCTTTTAAAAAGCCCATTGTATTTCAAGTGGAGCTACTTTAACTATGCCTTAACTAGGCCAAATCACTCTTGCTTTCATTGAGTGACCAATAACAGCCCCCAACCCAAGGCTCTGTGGCTCATTGTTTTAACTTTTGATGGCTTAGAATGGTTGTAAATAGTAATTGTTTTCTGTTCTCACCAGAAACTTTGAGAATCCCAGATTGACATTTTTGTGGTGGTAATATCTTTTGTCCCAATTCTTACTTAGTCCATAGTCATTGAACTGAGTTGCCAGAGACAAACAGAGACCTGGGAAAGACATTAATATAGAAAGGCCAAAGTCACCCCTTATCCATGGCCATCAGCAGCGTCTTGACTTTTGTCTTGCCACTGGATTCCAATGACTCTGGAGGACAGAGTGAGGCTGACAACTCTGTGCAGCTCCGCCTCACTTAAATCCAATTCGTGAGCAAGTCAAGACATCACCCTCCCGACCTCATTGGTCTGGGTGAACAACAACAAGAGGACACAAATAGCAAAAGCAAGACAGGCCCCTGCCCTCAAGGATCTTATAGTCTATTAGCAAACAACACAGAGTGGCGTCTTTTGGTTTGGAAAGTTATAGGAATGGCAATGGAGCCGTTGGGGAGTGGGTTGCGATTCATCCTTTCTAGGAGCAACGGCAGCATTGATTTTATGATGTTTCCAGAGATGGAAAAGGACAAAAGATAAGGGTGGAATAAGCATTCAGTAGCAGCGAGGAAGGTGAAAAGACAACTGGCTGTAGTCAGTAATTTATTAAGCACCTACTATATGCTAGGAAGCAAGGCTACAGCAAACCTAGATAGAGGGAGCCATGAGAGAGACACTCACTAATCAGAGCAGTGAGCCAGAGTGGGAATTAAATTTTCTAGAGAATAATGTAATACAGAGGGTGCGGCAGCAACATGGATGATGGGAAGATGACCAGGCTATAGCAGGCTCTACTTGCAGCAAGCACTTACTCGTTATTTACTATGAAGAATCCTGAAGGTGCTTTCTCCTCAGGAGACCATCCATAACTCTTCTTGTCCATTCACATTCAAATAAGTGAACTAGAGGGATGGGTACCCCAACTTAGTTTTTTTTGTATCTCACAGAAAACCTGACAGTCCATTTTCTTCAGGCTCCATCCTCTTTATGTCATCTGTCCAGTCCTACTTGGTCCGGGAAGCTGCCCTCTTTCTACTGCTAAGTACCTAAGACTCTTCCTCAACAGAGGTCTTAAACAAAGGCTGGATAAACTACTTGCTGGGTACATCATGGAGGGAATTCTTGTTTAGGTATCAGTTGGGCCAGAGAGCTTCCTGAGGTCCCCTCCAGCTCTGACGTACTCTGATTCTGAGAGTCTGTGGTCTAAGTATCCATTCTCCTCTGTGACAGAGGATGTGGCTCTTCAGACCTCATGATCTCATTTGAATCTGAGAGTAGTTCTCCTTGTCAAACACTGTATTTCCATCTCATCTGAGGCCTCAGTTCTTCAGCCTTGGGAACGTCATAGTCTGGCCTCTGATCCTCCCTGCTTGGTCCTGGCTACTCCTCAGTTTTAGGGGTATGTTGAGAATTGAAAAAGGAGTGTTTGCACTCATCTACCTGGAGGCACACACCATTAGATCCTACTGGTCATCAGGAATGAGAGGGCAGCTGTCCCAAGGACCTGCTGGGTGAGAGGAAAAGCGCTACTGGGAAGATTCTCCTGCCTTTTAAGAATGGAAAATGGAGATAGGCAGCATTAGCAGCAAGGCAGATGGAAGAAATAGGGAACTCAGGAGATCTAGAACTGAAGAAACAATGACCTGGGAATTAGGAAAGGGGAATGTCATTTTAAGAAATGAGAAAGGGAACAATGAGGATGGCTGGGGTCATAGAGAAATGGTCTCTAGGGGAAAAGGAAGAAACCCTTATTAGATAGAAAACTATTTGCTGGTTGAAGATTTTATTTTCAAAGCTCAGCTCTTGAGACGGTTGACTTGCATAGACTTACACCACAAGCCCCTTCAGTCCACCTTCCCAACATTCTATTTCCTTCATACTCAATATTCTTTCTGTTATAAGCACAAAGCATGGCCTGCTGTTATATCCTTTTCCTACCCAGCTTAGCCTCAAGCTAGCTTAACCTAATTAACTATTCATCTCTAATCCAAAGATTGGTCATATTTTTGAGGAGAATTGGGAAAGAATGTATCAATTCATAATTGAAAGACCAGGATTCAAATCTCAGCTCAGCATCTTATTACGTAAGGAACCTAAGGCAAATTCCTTAGCTTTTCTGGGCCTCATTTCAATCAATCAATTAATACACATTCATTAAGTACCTAGTGTGTGCCTGGTACATAAGTTCTGGCTATACAAAAAAGAGGCAAAAGACAGCCCCTGCCCCCAAGGAGCTACAATCTAATAGGGGAGATAATATGAAAACAAATATATGCAAAGCAAGCTATATATAAGATAAATAGGAAATAATTGACAGAGGGAAGGTCCTGGAACTAAGAGGAGTTGAGGAAGGTTTCTTGTAGAAGGTGGGATTTATGTTGAAACTTAAAGGACATCAGGGAGGTCAACAGTGGATGGAGGGAGAGTGTTCTAGACATGGGGGACAACCCGAGAAAATACCTGAAGCCAAGACATAGAACATCTTCTTTGTGATACAAGCAGGAAGCCACTGTCCCTGAATTGAAAAGTACCTATAGGAGGGAGTAAGGCGTAAGAAGACTGGGAAGATAAGAGGGTCCTGGGTTATGGAAGGCTTTGAATGCCAAATAGAGCATTTTGTATTTGCTCCTGGAAGCAATGGGGAGCCACTGGAGTTTATTGAGTACTGGAGTGACCTGATAGTAGGAGCTATATAAATGCTTATTCCGTTCCATCCTCTTTTGCTCCATTCTATTTAGGACACTCCTACATTATGGTGTTGAGTTTTTAGAACAACTGTTTACAAAGGATATTGAAAAGCTGAAGACTGTCTGGAGGAGGGAAATTGAAAGAGTAAAAGAGGTCCTTGAGGACATACCATTTAAGGATCAGTCGTCAGAACCTGGGCCATTAAGGCTAGAGTGGAGAAGCCAGGGGAAAATATGCTCACTATTTTTATGTGGTTGAAAGGTTGGCATGTGGAAGAGGGTTAGGTTAGACTGTGTTTGGTCCCAATGGGTAAAACTAGGAACAAAATGAGTGGGGGGGGGGCATTGTGAAGAGTCAAAGGCTATGAAGTCAAGAAAAACTCCTCAACAATTATTTCCTTCCAATAGGTGAATGGGCTGCCTCAGGATGTAGCTGATGCCCCCCACTAGAGAACTGTAAGCCAAGGTGAAATAACCATTTGTTGGCTGGAGTGTAGAAGGATTGATTTTTCAGTTACTGTTGGGCTAGGGGAGCACTGAGGTCTCTTTGAATTCTAACATTCTATGATTCTGTTATCTTGGTATCCTAGGTAACCAACATTCTCAAACAACAGGATGGGGCTCTTGAGGTCCTTTGCTCTCATTTGAACCTGAGACTTGCTCTCCTGTTTGAACCCCATATAACATATCAGAGGCCTTAGAAAGTTCTGAGTCTTTATTCTCCCAATCCCTTGAACTTGGTCTCTGCTACTTCTCTTTGTCTCAAAGGTAAATACATTGAAAGATGGAAGCTGAGCTTTTCCCATTCGCTAGCCTGGGATACCCACCAGTCCATCATTGTGATTCATCTGTATTGAGAGGGGAACTGTGCTGAGGCCCAACGATGAGAGTTTGGCAAAGCAGAAGTGACAGATTACTGAGCATTCATTCTCTGGGAGAACGAATGGAGATGGGTGAGCATTAGAAGTAAGGCAGAAGGGGAGAAAGAAGGAATGCTGTAGAGTTGGAAAGAGCTGAAGCAGCCAGGGTGGGTGAATTAGAGATGAAAGGCAAGTGTCAGACTGAGAGGTGTGAAAAGGAACAATGGGGGAGAGAGTGGACATGGAGACCTGATGCCTGGGAAATTGAAGGACCAGCTGATCACATATGAAATGACTTGTTAGTAGAGAGGCTTTCTTTTCAAAGCTCAACACTTGAGGAGGCTAATTTGTATAGGCCAACAGTCTGACTCTTCAGGGTGCCCCCTTTCTTCTGATTACTTTTCCCTGCCTTACCTTCTCCAGGCACAATCTATGAGTTGCTCTTGCCAAATTCTTCCTATCCAGCTTAAACTCAAAGTTGCTATGGTAACAGGGAAGATCAAAAGACAAACTCAGAAGAAGAAAACAAAGTCAAAACTGCTGCATCCAAAGCCAAAAAGAAAAATATGAAATGGTCTCAGGCCATGGAAGAGCTCAAAAAGGACTTTAAGAATCAAGTAAGACATTTATCATTTTCCTGTTTTGTTATGTTAACCAATCTGATAGGTGTGAGGTGGTACCTCAGAGTTGTTTTAATTTGCATTTCTCTAATCAATAGTGATTTAGATCATTTTTTCAAATGACTATAGATAGGTTGATTTCTTCATCTGAAAACTGCCTGTTCATATCCTTTCACCGTTTATCAATTGGGGAAAGGCTTGTATTCTTATAAGTTTTTTGTTTTTGTTTTTGGCTAGGCAATGGGGTTAAGTGACTTTCCCAGGGTCACACAGCTAGTAAGTGTCAAGTGTCTGAGGCTGGATATGAATTCAGGTCCTCCTGACTCCAGGGCTGGTGCTCTATCCATTGCACCACCTAGCTGCCCCTATACATTTTGTGCAGTTCTCTGTGTATTTTAGAAATGGGTCCTTTATCAGAGACACTGGCTATGAAAATTGATTCTTAGCTTTCTTCTTCCTTTCTAATATTGGTTGCATTGGTTTTGTTTGTGGAAAACTCTTTTACTTTAATGCAACCAAAATGATCCATTTTGCACTTCACAATGTTCTCTTTCCCTTGTTTGGTCATAAATTCTTCCATTCTCCATAGATCTGACAGGGAAAGTATTCTTTGCTCTCCTAATTTGCTTATAGTATCAATCTTTATGTCTAAATCGTGTACCCATTTTGACCTTTTCTTGGTATATGGTGTAAAATGTGGGTCCATGCCTAGTTTCTGCCATGCTATTTCCAGTTTTCCCAACAGTTTTTGTCAAATACTGAGTTCTTAGGGCAGAAGCTGGAGTCTTTGGAATTATCAGACAGTACATTACTATAGTCATTGACTCCTGTGTTTGTGTACCTAACCTATTCCACTGATTCACCACTCTATTTCTTAGCCAGTACCAAATTTTGATTATTGCTGCTTTACAATACAGTTTTAGATCTGGTACAGCTAAGATGCCTCCCCTTGCATTTCTTTTCACTAATTCCCTTGATATTCTGGACTTTTTGTCCTTCCAGATGAATTATGTTGTTTTTTCTAGCTGTGTAAAATTGGTAGTTTGATTGGTATGGCACTGAATAAGTAAGTAAATTTAGGTAGAATTGTCATTTTTATTATTTTGGGTCGGCCTGCTATTAGATCTGACTTTATTTGTGTAAAAATGTTTTTAACTGTGTTCATATAGTTCCTGGGTTTGTCTTGGTAGTTAGCTTCCCAGTGTTTTATATCGACTGCAGTTATTTAAATAGAATTTTTTTTTCTATCTCTTGGTGTTAGGCTTTGTTAGTAATATATAGAAATGCTGATCATTTGTGTGGGTTTATTTTATATCCCGCACCTTTACTAAAGTTGTCAATTATTTCAAGTAGTTTTTTAGTTGATTCTCTACGATTCTCTAAAGATACCATTACAGTTGGGGAAACTGATACAAATGGAGGTTAAATGACTTGCCCATGGAATCCCCAGCTGTTCAATGTCTGAAGCTAGATTTGGACTCATGTCTGCCTGATTGTAGACCTAATGCTCTCTATCCACTGAGCCATCTAGCCACCTCCTGTCTGTGCACGTGCATGTCTGTGCACCATATGACTAGGAATGACTAGTTGTACCAAGTTTGGTTTCTTAACATTTCATGATTATCACTGGGAAAGCTGAATTTTTAGCACCTGCAAATTGAAAGTTTTTCAAGGGTCACATGAAGGAGCCAAATGGTGAGACCATTTCTTGAAATGTATAGGTACTGTGCCATGAGAAAGAAACACTTTTAATTAAAACATACACATATATGTGTGTATATGTATACATGCCACTGTGTATATATACATGCCTATATATGTGATGTATTTGTTTTTGCACATACACATGTACATGTATACATTGTATATATACACACATACATGTGTATGTAACTTCACATGTATATGCAAATATAAATGCATCTACCTGTGTGTGTATGTGTGTTTGTGTGTATACATACCCCCCCCAACACACACGCATTACTTTTGGGGCCCTTTTAGCCAGAGTTTCTTACCTCACTGTCTTTTTGTCTCCAGATCCAAGGTCAGGACAATGACCACTGGGTTCAAGATCTTTTCAACAGAATTGCATCTCGGGGTAAACTAGGCAAGGACCAGAAGGGCACAGAGTTTTCTAACACCATCCTTCCAATGAAATCAGGGTAGATTGTAGCCCTGGATAAGAGTGAGGTAAGTACTGTGAGCTACTGCGAGGTCAAGAAGGGCCTTTGTAGAGAGGGCTTTGTAGAGGCCTGAGAAATGAGATGGACCTTCTGAAATGGCTGATTTTTACAATCTTTTTTTCTCACAGAGTTGATGATAAAGGGACCAAGGAAATAGATTACGAAAAAGAAGAGCAAAAGCAGAATTAGACGAGGGAGAAGAGGAGATCTTGGCTATTCTGCTGAACCGTCTTCCCTGCAGAAGTCGCTTACTTAAACCCAAGAGAGAGATCCTGTGGAAGACAGACACCAGTAGCATTCCCCCAGGGATGAGCCATGTCTGCTCCAAAAGCAAGGGTCTTGTTTCCTCTCCTGGATATTGATCCTTGAGGGGGAAGATGAGAGTTCCTCAGAGACACTGTCTCAAACACAAGCTGAGTCTGATGAGCCTGGGCCAGTTTCCACCTGTGGCTGCCTCTCTTAGTGATCTGAAGGCTCAGACAGCCAATCTCTGGGATCTTTGTCACTGACCACAGGAAGGCACAGATGAGCAGAATACTGACCCAGGGCTGTCTGCTTGCTTATACAAACCTTAGACAATTGATGTGTACAACACTCCACCTCAGTCTTTGCTTATTCGGGAAAAGAAATAACACACACAGCTGTGATCCAGAGAAGCCAGGATATGGAGATGAGGAAGGAGTTTATTCCAGGCATGGGGAACAATCAGTGAAAAGTCTCAGTCAGGAGATGAATGCTTTGGGCAAGGAACAGCAAGGTTCCTGGTATTAGTGTATTGTAAGAATGTGCAGGGTTGGGTGTTAGGCATAAGAATACTGGAAGGTTGAGGTGCCTTGTTTATGAAGGGCTTTGAATGCCAAAGAAAAGATTTTACATTTGATTCAGAATGTGATAAGTTGTTACTGGAGTTGATTGAATGCTGGTATGACATTGTCTGGCAGCTCGGTGGTGCAATGGATAGAGCATGGACTATCTAACATGCAAAACCACAAAGAGAAATGCTAGGGGATAAGGGGGGCTTAGAGTTGGGGTTGAAAGACAGCAGGTGAGTAATCTGGAGAGGAAATGCTCATTGCAACCAAAACATGTGAATGGAATTCAATAGGGGTTTATTTATGTAAGCCTCCTTATGGACAGAAAGCCACAAAGGTCAGACTTTTGCCTTTCTAAAAGCTGTACCAGGAAGGCTGAAAGAACAATGAGAGGGTCCACTCTCCCTTTGAGGGGGAGGGAACAGCTCAGCTGAGGCCAGAGGCAGGAGGCAGAGAGGAGCTCCCCCATTCATGCCTAGGGGAGCTGTGGGTACTGGCAGCACCACAGGACCAATGGGAGGACGCTGAACACTGACCATTCCAGAGCAGCAAGAAACAATACCCAGCAGAGACAGCATACCAGATCCACATACCTGGCAGACACCACACACCATGCCCACACATCCAAATGAGACCACCCACCTGATAGGAAACAAAGCCTAAGAAGGACCAGAGGAGGAGCAGGCCTGCTGAGCCTGGCCCCCAGCACAAGAAGCCTGTGCCACCTGTGCACCAGCAGGACAGTTCAACTTTAAAAGCCAGGAAATAGGCAAACATCATGAACAAAAAGCAGAAATGGAAAATAACCATAGATTATTTCTGTGGGGACAGGGACAAATTCAGAAGAGGACAACATTGTCAATATCCCTCAAAGGGGAATATGAACTGGTCTCATGCCCAAAAAGCCTCCATAAAAGAGCTCAAGGAGGATTTTAAAAGTCAAAAGTCTACCTCTTCTTTAAGAGAGGTAGAAGAAAAATTAAGAAAAGAAATGAGAGGTATGCAAGAGAGTCAACAGCTTGGAAAAGGAAGGGCAAAAATTGACTATAGAAGACAATTCCTTGAAAAACACAATTGACCAAATGGAAAAAAGTACACTGAAGAAAACAACTCCTTAAAAAGTAGAATTAGAAATGGAAAAGGAGGTACAAAAGCTAAGTAAAGGAAACAATTTGTTAAAAATTAGAATTGGGCGAGTGGAAGTTAATGACTTCATGAGACATCAAGAATTAGTCAAACAAAATCAAAAGAATGAAAAAATAGAAGAAAATGTAAAATACCCCTCATTGGAAAAACAACTGACCTGGAAAATAGATTCAGAAGAGATAATTTAAGAATTATTGGTCTACCTTAAACACATGATCAAAAAAAAAGAAATTGGACAGCATCTTTCAAGAAATTATCAAGGAAAACTGCACTGAGGTCCTAGAACCAGAGAGTAAACTAGTCATCAAAAGAATCCACTGATCACCTCCTGAAAGACAGCCCAAATTGAAAATGCCAAGGAATATTGTAGCTAAATTCCAGAATTATCAGGTCAAGGAGAAAATATTGCAAGGAACAAGAAAGAAACAATTTAAATATTGTGGAACTACAGTCAGGATTATGCAGGACCTTGCAGCTTCTACATTAAAAGATTGGAGGGCTTGGAATATGATATTTTGTAAGGCAGAGGAGCTTGGATTACACCAAGGATCAACTACCCAGCAAAACTGAGCAAATTTTTCAGGGGAGGAAATGGACATTCAATGAAATAGGGGACTTCCAAACCTTCCTGATGAAAAGACCAGAGCTCAACAGAAAATTTGATCTTCAAATACTAGACTCAAGGGGAGACATAAAAAGGTAAACAGGAAAGGAAACGTTATTCAATAAGGGCAAACTGTTTACATCCCTACATTGGAAGATGATACTTGTAACTCTTGAGAATTGTATCTTCTGATGTTTAGAAGGGGTATACATAGACAGAGGCGTGGGTATAAATTGATTTTGATGTGATGTTAAAAAATCTAATTAAGGGGTTAAAAGAGATTGTACTGGGGGAAGAGGAAAGGAGGAGGCAGAAAAGGGTTAATTACATCACATGAAGAGGCACAAAGACCTATTACAATAGAGAGAAAAGGGAGGGAGATAAGCATTGTTTGAACCTTATTCTCATTGGATTTGAGGGAACAACATACTCAGGTATAGCAACCTAATTTACCCTATAGGAAGTAGGAGGGGATGGCAAAGAAAAGGGAGGGAGTGGATAGAAGGGGAGGGAAGAAGTAGTAGGGGAAAAGGGAGAGAAAAGAGAGGGGGCTGATAGAAGGGAGGGCAGTTTGAAGGAGGCAGTGGTCAAAAGCAAAACTCTAGTGAGGAGGGAAAAGGAGAAAGGAGAGAGAAAAGCATAAACAGGAAAATAGGATGCAGAGAGAGACACAAATAGTAATTGTAACTGTGAATGTGAATGGGATGAATTCTCCCATAAAACAGAAGCAGCATGGATTAAAAGCCATAATCCTACAATATGATGTTTACAACAAACACATTTGAAGCAGAAGGATACACACAGAGAAAAGGTAAAAGACTACAACAGAATATATCATACTTCAGTGGAAGTAAAAAAAAGCAGGGGGAGAAATCCTGATCTCAGACAAAGCAAAAGCAAAAATAGGAAACTACATACTTCTAAAAGGTACCATAGACAAATGAAGTAATATCATTACTAAGCATATATGCACTAAGTGGTATAGCATCCAAATTCTTAGAGGAGAAGTTAAGGGAGTTATAGGAAGAAATAGACAGAAAAACTATAATAATGGGGGACCTCAACCTCCCTCTCTCAGAACTAGATAAGTCTAACCACAAAACAAACAAGAAGTTAAGTAGGTGCGCAGAATTTCAGAAAAGTTAGATATGGTAGACCTCTGGAGAAAATTGAATGGGGATAGAAAGGAATGTACCTTTTTCTCAGTGGTACATGGCACCTACACAAAAATTGACTATGTATTAGGGCATAAAAACCTCACAATCCAATGCAGAAAGGTAGAAATATTAAACACATTCTTTTCAGATCACGATGCAACAAAATTATATGTAATAAAGGGCCACGGAAAGATAGACTAAAAATTAATTGGAAACTAAATAATCTAATCCTAAAGAATGAGTAGATCAAACAACAAATAATAGAAACTATCAATAACTTCATCCAAGAGAATGACAATAATGACACAACATACCAAAACTTATGGGATGCAGCAAAAACAGTTCTTAGAGGAAGTCTTGTATCTCTAAATGCTTACATGAATAAAATAGAAAAAGAGATCAATGAATTGGGCATGCAACTAAAAAGGGTAGCAAAAGAACAAATTAAAAATCCCCAATTAAATACCAAGTTAGAAATTCTGAAAACCAAAGGACAGATTAATAAAATTGAAATTAAGAAAATTATTGAACTAATAAAACTAAGAGCTGGTTTTATGGAAAAAAAAAAAACCAAACCCAATAAATGGATAAACCTTTGGCTATAATTTGATTAAGAAAAAGAAAGAAAAAACCAAATTACCTATGTAAAAAATGAAAAGGGTGAGGTCACCACCAACTAAGAAGAAATTAAAATGATAATTAGAAGCTATTTTACCCAACTGTGTACCAATAAATTTGATGATTTTAGTGAAATGGATGAATATTTACAAAAATATAAATTGCTTATATTAACAGAAGATGAAATAACATACTTAACCTCACATCAGAAAAAGAAATTTAATAAGCCATCAATCAAGTCCCTAAGAAAAAATCTCCAGGGTAAGATGGATTTATAAGTGAATTCTACCAAACATTTAAAGAACAATTAATTCCAATACTATATAAACTATTTTGTAAAATAGGTGAAGGAGTCCTACCAAATTCTTTTTATGATACAAATATGATGCAGATACCTAAACCAGAAAGAGCCAAAACAGAGAAGGAAAAGTATAAACCAATTTCCCTAATGAATTTAGATGCAAGAATTTTAAAATATTAGAAAAGAGATTATAGCAATTTATCATGAGGAAAATACACCATGACCAGGAAGGGTTTTTACCAGGAATGCAGCACTGGTTCAATATTAGGAAAATTATCAGCATAATTGACAATAACAATAAAACTAACAAATCATATTATCTCAATAGATTCAGAAAAAGCTTTTGACAAAATACAACACCCATTCCTATTGAAAACACTAGAGAGCATAGGAATAAATGGAGTCTTCCTTAAAATAAGTAGCATCTATTTAAAACCATCAATAAGGATTACGTATAATGAGGATAAGCTAGAAGCATTTCCAATAAGATCTGGGGTGAAACAAGAATGTCCATTATCACCACTGTTATTCAATATTGTACTAGAAATGTTAGCTTTAGCAATGAGAAGAAAAAGAAATTGAAGGAATTAGAATAGGCAAAGAGACAAAGCTATCACTCTTTGCAGATGATATAATGGTATATTTAGAGAATCCTAGAGAATCAAGTAAAAAACTACTTGAAATAACTTTAGTAAAGTTGCAAGATGTCAAATCCACATAAATCATTGGCATTTCTATATATTACTAACAAAGCCCAATACCAAGAGATAGAAAGAGAAATTCCATTTAAAGTAACTGTAGTCGATATAAAATATTTGGGAGTCTACATGCCCAAACAAACCCAGGAGCTATATGAACAAAATTACAAAATATTCTTCACACAAAGTCAGATTTAAATAATTAGAAAAATATCAGTTCATGAGTAGGCCAAGGTAATATAATAAACATGACAATTCTACCTATGGCATACCAATAGCATGAGATAGAAAGAGAAATTTCATTTAAAGTTACTGTAGACATAAAATATTTGGGAGTTTACCTGTCAAAACAAACCCAGGAACTATATGAACACAATTACAAAACACTTTTCACACAAATAAAGTCAGATCTAAGTAATTGGAAAAACATCAATTGTTCATGGGTAGGTGAGCTAATATAATAAAAATGACAATTCTACCTAAATTGATTTACTTAGTGTCATACCAATCAAACTACCAAAAATACTTTATAGAGCTAGAAAAAATAACAAATTCATCTGGAAGAA